AACGAGCACATATAGGCGATCGGCGGGCTATGGACCCGCCGATCGCCTATATGTGAAACACCCGGTAACGGGTGTGTGCATTTAGCGGGTCTTTTCTGCCCGTGCGTGCCCGCTAGGGGGCGCGCGCGAGCAGAAAAAAATTGCCGTCTGGAGACGGCAACCCGCAGATGCTGCAGTGCCGTCCGTCCGTTTTTTTACTACGGGCGGACGGCAAGAGGTTAATCATGTATTCGGCAGGTGCTGGCTGTCAGACAATGGCCACTGCAGGAGATTCGTCCATCTATGTTGTTTAGCCTGAAGAATAGGTCAGAGCATATGGTCAGCTTAAGAGGGGAAATGGCCCATTTTGGAGAGATTTCCTCTCAGTTCCTGTTGCATTTCCAGGATGCAGAGTGCAAAAAAAGAAACCAACTGGGATTAAAATCCTTTCCTACTCTATCTAAAAAAAAATCCATGTTTTGACTAAATATAAACTGTAATCTCCTCTCTTCTCCTCCATAGATTTACAATCTCATCTAGTGATTCTTGGGCACTTTTTTCCCATTTGAGTTCACCGCCTGAAGCTGCACAGGGTGACAACACTACACTGAATTCACTGCGAGACGTGTAAAGAAGAACTCCGGGCATCTTGAAACGTAACCCCTGCCGTGGGCCTACCCCTGCACTGCCAGTGTTAGGTGCTTGTTTTTGTCTAGGAGGCTCCAATAAAAAATATTTACTGATCCTCAGTCCCTCCTGGCTGCTAGACCGGTCCTTCCGCAGGCTCCGGCAGTCTAAGTACCACTGATGTCATCACGTCTAATACAAGTCCATTGATTTGCACCGGACATGAGGACGCCACAGGACATTCCACATCCGTAGCCACACTGCAAGGGTTCGTTTTTAAAATGCCTGGAGTTCTTCTTTATTAGTGTCACCCTGCTAATGCCCTTTGAGTGTCAGGATCACCAGGTAGAGCTGCAGAGAAAAGAGGACACTGGGGGCATGTTAAATGTGGACTTCTATATTCATCATTTTTGTGCACAGTAAGCTTTTGTAAAAATAGTCACATGGCAAAAACAGTAGAACAGAAGGGTAAAATGTATTCAGTATATATAAATACTGTCCTGCTGACCAGAGTAAGATCGTCCACAAGGCAGGAGTCTAGGGACAGGTGAGTGTCCATGGTGCCCAGCTACAATTTATGGCCTCCTGCAGTAAACCAGGGGAATAGCCCAGTTGCTCAAAGCTGGGCCCCTGCCTGATACTTCCAAGACAGGATGCAGTTGTAGGCCGTTAGTGTCAGTACAGACAATGCAAATATGCCTACTGTAGTTCTTATTAATGTCACTCAGATGGATGGGGGATGGGCAAAGCTGACACCTTGTCTGGGGCTCCAGTGATAAACAAGCTGCAAAAGTACCTCCATTTTGATGAGTGTTGATATCAGTCTCATGATGCCTCTTGCAAAGCAGTGCTTAAAGGAGAACTATGAGATGAGTGCTTTTCACTCACCTCATAGTTCTAGCCGACCTGTGACAATGAGACTATCACAGGTCGGCTCAGTAGATCAGGAGGTGAGCGAACACATACCGGCGTTCGCTCACTTCTCGATCCTGTCACGGCTCTCTGCCGTGACAGGGGAGGGGCTGAATTCCCCCCTCCCCGCTCCGATCCGCCAGCGCTGACTGGCGGAACGGACGGGGGCGGGTACAGCTGGCTCTGCCTCTAGATAGGTAGAGCCAGCTGTCAGTCACGCAGCTGGGCGGATCCCGGCTGCGTGATACTGATACAGCTCGCGGTATACTGAGCCTAGGGTGACGGGAGGACGCTAGTTTGTGTCCTCCCGTTACCCTAAGGAGAAGTATGGGGAAAAGCCTTAACCACATAGTTCTCCTTTAAACCGGCAATTTATTTATTATAGTGCCAACAATTTATGCAGCAACTTACATCAGTCCCTGCTCTCAAGGAGCTTACATTCTGCAGTCCCTATCGCACACAAGGCCAAAAACCCACACAAGCAAGGGAGAACATGCAAACTCTTTGCAGATAGTATCCTGGCCAGGATTTGAACCAGTGATGCAAGGCAGAAGTAGTAACCCCTAAGCCACTGTGCTGGCTTATCATATATGAAGGTTAATGATATTATGTATTAAACAGATTCCATAGACAGAGACCATCAATGCTAAGCAGTATGGATGGATGAATCGCACGCTGCAGCTACTGTATTCTGACAGTGGCAGGTGTGCTTCTGTCCAAATACCAATGAACAATGAGTGCAGCTCATTAGCTGTATTCACTTTTTGACCAACAAATCTCCACTCGGCTACTTTGATTTTCTGAGCGAAGGATGCCGGCCAAGAGACTGCCTGCATGGCCACCTGGTCAGTGTATGGCAAGCTTCAGACTGGGAGAAGGAGGAACAACACTAGGAGCCAGTCAGGTGTAGCTGCATGCACATGTGAATAAAGAGCAGCGTGTTGCTGCTCCTTCATTGTTCAGTAAACAGGCTGCAGGTGGGGAGGTGACACCCCTATACTGCTTAAATCTAACAAAGAAAGTGGTGCCACCCTTCTGACCGTGCTTTCTGCTAAAGTTGTATGAATCACAAAAGTGGCTGCACAGAATTCCAAATCCTTTCTCAGATACAGTTTACATATGTGTATTTTATCTGCATATTTTCTATTTGGCTGGATATCAATTGGCTTAATACAAGATCTGGATAAATACCTGTTCCAGTATGCAATGTTAAGGTGCCCAGACACCTTGCGATAATCGTACGATAATCGCGGGAAATCCCGCGATCGTCCAATTATCACAAGGTGTGTGGAAGGCATGCGACCTCTGCTACTGTAAGGTCGCACGACTTTAGTCATCGTAAGCCCGCCCTTCATTGCAGTCATCTTAAGCCCGCCCCTCATGGTGGCGGGCTTGCGATGATCGCAAGTACGATATGCCTGTCCAAGATGGGCAGATCGTACGTTTTTTTAAGTACTTTACAACCCTCGCAAGACGAAAGTCTTGCGAGGGTTGTAAAGTGTATGGGCACCTTAAGAATAAACACAGACGGGATTGACAGCATGACTCTGCAATCTGAATCATTTCATATTGTCTCAGTCCTCATTCACACTTGTGCTACAGCGTCAACATGCGTAGAAACGTGCCTTGTATGTAGCATGTTCTTGCACATTTTTAAACACGAAAAACGCATACAAAAGGTTGTGTGTGTTTGCAAGCAGATCGTGAGACATCTATGTGAATGGACAAACGCGCTCAAAAATGTGTAAAAATACACCAAACACGACTTTCTATTGAAGTCTATGAGGCCAAGAAGTGCAGAATCTGCCAAAAAGAAGCTTATGTACTTTCCTCAAGCGACCAGAGTTTTGCTACAAGCGACATGACGCTCAGATGTGAACATGGCCATAGAAATGAATAGGTTTTTTGGGGGGGCGTTACTTTGAGTGTTTCTTCGAGCAGGAAAAGTGCTACATAATGCTCAGAGTGAATGAGTGCTTAGGCCTTGTTTACACGGGCGACAAAGAGGCAGTAAAAACACTGATCCACGTTTTTACCACCCCTTGACCGGCCACCTAAAACCTAGCATGGTGTCTACTCCGGTCTGGACA